TTCCCTTGCTGCCTTACTACAACATACACATAAACTACATTCCTCGTTTATTATTGTTGTTTTGTTTCCTCGTGCATGGTATACCCACCTCTGCCTCAGAACTTCTGCACATGCCCTTTCATTTATCTAGAAAAGTCTTCTTGCAGATATTTGCTCGTCTTGTTCCATAGAATTCAGGACATACATTCCCCTCACCATACCTCTAGGCCATTTTCTCTATCACACATATTTTTCTCCATAGCATTTACTATCCAATATAATCTTAATATGTATTTACTTGTTTAGTGTCTATTTCTCCATCAAGAATGTAAGTTTTACAAAAACAGAGTATTGGTCTCACTTTACTATCATATCAATAAATACCATATGAATGAATGAATCATAAACTTACTAGGCATGTCATAATATAGAGCTGCACACCTGTCTCCAGTTTTTTTCATTTCTCCTTGGGCTATTTCCTTATTGTAGGAACCCAAGTCACTACAGTAACCACAAATAGAAGATATGATTGTCTGATTCCCTGCTTGTACTACTATCTTGGTGTACTAAAGGTGTTGCTACCACCATCTTTCTAGGTGCTGCAATCTTCTTCCCATATGTGAGGAATAGATAAAAGAACAGCAGCAATGCAGATGCGGCATTGCTTGGCAATTGCCACCTGCTTGGACATGGTGATGGGGAGGTCAATTTAGAAAAGAGAAGGTTCTAAAGGACAGTAACTGCATGTCTGTGAAATAATAAGGAATATATATGAGAGTAAGTTTGCTGGTGTGGAAGGACCCAAGCAGCAACTCTCGACCCTCAAAGACATTATGAAAACTTGGAGATCCAAAAATTGATACCTACCAAAACAGAATGAATGAGCGAAGAAGACCAATATGGTAACAACTACCACAAAGGCATGAACTGAAAGCAAACCATGAAGAGAAATTTTAATTGTGCAGAGTACAGATTGAGCACTTTACATCACTGAGGCTTCCGTAGCAAGGATTGAAAAATATTTAACTGACTTGAAGCTGATTGATTTTGTTAGGCAGTGAGACACATGTGGATGACTCTACCATATTCAAAGGAGCCAGATTCCAAAGGAAATTCACAGGAGATAGTGCCATGCTTATGAACATAAACTGAGATACTTGAATATTGCTAAATTACGATGAAATCATTGAAAATGTCATAGCAGAAATCCTAGGGAGAAGTATTAACAGTTCTGCATTTCTAGTTCATATGGAAATGGTAATTCCACTTATGAAAGTAAAGTACAGGCATGACGTTATTATGATTAAGACCTTATGAGTGTAGAAATGTAGAGTGGTGTATTAATAATATTATAGACATGTTTGGCATAAAATGTAAGCAATGTAACTAAATTAGTTGTACATTCCAGGCTACATCTGGATTTCCTGTGAGCCTGTTACTTTACAAAGCTAAACAGAAGAATAAACCGTTCATGCTTCTTAGGGTGCTCAGACGATAGCCAGTTTTTGTTTTTCCTGCAGCATTTGTCCCTGGAGAGTGCCAGAATCTTCTAAAGCCTCTTTTAGAAGGCAGTATGTTATTTTAAAGTAGTAGTTAAGATCATCTTACTTGGGTGATGATGGCTGTTTCACATGGCTAACAGCCATACTTGCCTCACAAATAACCTGAAAGTATGTTCATTTTTGCCAGCCCTCTTGGAAGAATGCATATAGTGGAATACAGAAAAATCACTTGAATAAATTTCAGTAACTCGTCTATTTGTTTCTTTCTTTACATTTCTTAGGAAAGCAAACAGAGGAGTTAATATTGGAATAGTTTGGCAGTGTGACCATTAGGATGAGATATGTTACTCACTATATAGTGTGTGTGTGTGTATAAATAAAATATTGAATTTATTAGAATGTATTAGATCTCAGAGATCTTGGAGGTGAGAAAGCCAGAATGAATCTGCAAGAGAGTAAAAAAGGGAAAACTCAGGGAGAACATAAAGTTGAAATGGAAGTCAGTGGCACAGCCTCAAATAGACTTGTTATTTTATAAGTGATGGGATAAGCCATGTGCATGGGCCTGGACATCAGTTATTTCTCTTTTCTCACCTTCATCAGTTACAGAGCGCTGCCCCTGTGTCAAAAGTCAGGGCAGAAAGTGTTATTTAAAGCACCTCCTGGATGTAAATGATAAATATCAAACAGTTAACTTCTATAATAAACTTCATTTTTTAGAAAATTTTTCGGAAATCCAGTATGAGTTATCACTCTAAATTAGAGAATTTTTAAAATGTAGTCTTCTTTCTGTGTTTTACTTCCGGTGAACACAGGAAGTCACTTTAGTTTAACAAACGTTGGCAATAAATAGATTTTAAGGAAAATATTTAGAAAACATTAATTGCATTATATCACTTTTTCTGATATCAATATGTACTTACAATTTTATCCTCTTCGGTTAGGCCTGTCTGTTCCATTTCTGATTACAATCATGATTAACTTAATACATTCTTTTTTCAGAGTAATTGTAGTGACAAGCAGTAGATTTGACTGATTTGCTAAAAATTCCACATTCCTGCCACTTTGGTGTGGATGCTTTTGAACCCCAGTATTGTAATTTCTATGTTCCATCTTAGGACCAGGTGAGTCCTACGGGTAAGTTGAGATTACTTGTATAGACGTTAGTCAGCAGCCCTTATACGGCATCTCCTGTCAAGGGTATGCTACCACCCCACCACATTTTCTGCTTGCCCTGGGAAGAACTCTTTGTTTCTTCTTTCAGAGTGTAACTCACTGATACAAAAGGATATTGACACTCTTGACATATATAAACCTTCCGCTTAGAGTTTCTAGTTCCCGTGGCGGGAGTATCACACCATGTACCTGGCACCGTCAATGGAAATAGATATTTCAGTGGCCCCAGTCCTTTGGGTCTTTCTTGTCTTCCTCCTGACATTGGAGAAACACAACTTTCTCTAAGACAATGTTCTATCTAAGCCTATCCTTCATCTCTAAAAGCTCAGAAGAAGCCCACTGGGGATTGTTAAACCTATTGGCAGGGGCTAGTGGGGGTGGGTGCTCTTTTCCCTGAAATCTTTCCAGAGAGTTATGTAATCCATGCATTTCCATTTGGCACTAAGTTCATTTTCCCATTGATACTGGGAACCATGGGATTATGGGTTTTGTAGTTCATCTGATCACTTGGCTTAATAATTTTTTGTGGCAAAATGGGTTCCAAGTTTTAAATAGCTGAGTTACAAATTAGTGATGGAACATCGCTGACTTTTTACATGGGCACTGCTTATCACACCAGTATAGTACAAAACACTCAAAAAAACACAAATTTTCCCTTACTTTCCTTACATAATCTGTGAGAATGTATCTGTCTTTCAAATTGATAAAATTCCGCAGATGAATTCTTTGAATTTTGGAGGGTCGAGGCAGGCATCCACCTGGTCAGTGCCTCCTTAGAGCTTATATTCTGGTGGAACTTTGATAAGAATTACTAAACATATTCTCTGGTCCACCCATGCGCTTGGCTAATCATTTGTGTAACTAAGGAAGGTAGACTTAATGTGTGTGTGTGTGTGTGTGTGTGTGTATTTACTTATATATACCTGGAATATTTAGAGAAAGATGTATAAGAAACCAGAAATACTTGCTGCCTCCACACAGGAGAAATGGTGACCTAAAGACAGGAATAGGAAAGATAACCACAGTTGGCTGTGCAGAATTCCCTATCACTCAATTTTTGCATCATGTGAATGCCTTAACGATTCAAATAAATAAAAAAAATTTAAAAAGAAAAAAAAAAAAAACGAAGTCCTTGGCTGGTCCACCCATTTATGTCTTATCCTTAGCATCAGCACTGAGAGAGATAGCTAACCTTTTGGGGCTGTCACTTGAGTGACTAACAGTGTTAGCCCCTAAGGTCCTTAGCACTTGGCTTGACTCCCTGAGTGGAAGGAAAGACAAATGATGGTAACTTGTCTGCCATTCACAGGAGTGCTGTCCGTAGCCTCAGTGTGGTCCACAAATGACAAGCTTTCTGATATACAAAGGTCTTTCCCTACATAAGAACATTTTGAGAAGCAAGTGCTAGTAGCAAGCGAGGTACCAACAGCAGTGTGACATTTAGACAGTAATCCTTAGTACCATTCCTCAAGCGTGGGACTGAGTGAGGGTTTCCTGGAGAGTGAGGTTGATTTAGGGATTGGGGATCAGCTGCTGAGGCTGGCACTTGGAAAAGACAAACCAGGCATTCACACTCCAGACCACTCAATACCAGCATTGTCTCCAATCCATCTTTCATAAGGGGGCTCCAAGAGGGGGGAGGGGATAAAGGAAGGAGAGAAAATCGCGTAAGAGAAAGTGCAGGAGAAGGGAAAGAATGGACAAGATGTGAGTATGAAAAGCCAGTGGTCAGAAATATTTAGTTTTGAAACCAACTTTGGCTTTTAATCTTAGCCTCCCCTGGCAAGTTCCTCTTCTGTTTTACATTGCCCATCTCATCTTTGGGCACCGTCCCCCTCCACTCCCCACGCTTTCTTATCCCTCTCTGCCTCACTCCCTCGTCTGTCAAGGCTTGCCTTCTCCTTGCCCTCTCCTTCCCGGGCTCCTTTCCGGTCCATCTCTCCCCTTTCCCTGTCCTTTCCCACACTCTTTCTCCCGTGCTTTCACAGCCCGAGTCCCTCTCCTCCCCTTTCTCTCGCACGGTACATCCAAGCTCCATTCCCTCTTCTTAAGGAAATCAGCCAGGCCTCAGATGGAGCTGTTGTCCTGACAACCTAAAGGCGCATCGGGCTTTCACCGAGGCTGGCTGCTGCTGAAGGGGGCAGTTGTGCAAAGCGAGGGGCCAGGCCGGAGGGAGGGCGGGAGGGGATGACGTGGAGGGGCTGTTGAAATCCGCGGGGGGCGGGGGAGGTGCGAGCAGAGGGGAGGGACTGGAGCGAGAAACAGGAAAGGGGGGGGGGAGGAGAGACTCCGGGCTGCTGCCGCTGCTGTGTGGGTTTCTTTACACTCCCTGGCAGGCTGGGTGCCGGCTCCCTCGCCCGCCAGCCTGGGAAAGTGGGTTAGGGGGGGCAGGAGCTCCGCTCGGACACCGGCAAAGGAGCATCCAGCCCCGGGCGGACCGGAGAAGAGCACCTTCCTTCGGCAGCTTTCTCTTCCTCTCTCCTGGGGGGGGGGGGTTTATATTTGCACTCTCTCCTTTTCAATTTTGTTCCCTTGACTTTCCTCCCCACCTCGGGTTTTACGAGAGCTTTGTTGAGTCTTGGAGGGAAGACACCACTGAGCCAGGCAGAGAGCGAGGGAAAGTGGCAAGGAGCACAAATTGGCAAGCCCGTTCCGCCTTGGCCGTTGATGAAAGCCCTGTGTTTGTAAAGCCCTCTCGGCGTGAGCAGCACGCACACACCCTCCAGAGTACGCGGCGGACCTGCACCTCGGCGTGGCCACCATGGTCGGCAGAGTTCAGCCTGATCGGAAACAGTTGCCGCTGGTCCTACTGAGATTGCTCTGCCTTCTTCCCACAGGACTGCCCGTTCGCAGCGTGGATTTTAACCGAGGCACGGACAACATCACCGTGAGGCAGGGGGACACGGCCATCCTCAGGTAGGGCTCTCTGGCAACTTTTCTGCTGTGCGCGCAAGGGTGAGTGAGTGTGTGTGTGTGTGTGTGTGTGTGTGTGTGTGTGTGTGTGATCTTAAACTCCAGCTTCTGATGCTGCAGGCGTGTGTGTGTGTGTGCATGTGCATGCACACGCGCCTTTTACTGACTGGCCCAGGTATCTGCCAATAAATTTCAAAGGAATTCTGCTTCCCATCAAGGACCAGCAATGTGGCTTAAATGCGTTTGGTTTCTCAGGACCTTGGTTCTCTTACTAAGAGAGCCTAACTTCACCTATGGTGTTAGTGACACTTGGGCAGTATTCTTGCTTTTGTGATTTCAGATGCTTTGCACTTAAGAGTTTTGTTGGGGTTCTTTAATCAGGAAATAGGAGCTGTTGGAATTATGGCTCTCAGAGAGTGGTACACAATACTGCATTCTCTATGCTGTGTGCTGTGTGTGTATGTCTGTGTGTGTGTGTGTGTGTGTGTGTGAGAGAGAGAGAGAGAGAGAGAGAGAGAGAGAGAGAATACACATCAAGGCTTTCACTCTGCCCCAGCAGTAGTCAGGATTGGAGACTTTTAAGGATCTTCTAATTGACATCCAGGGCAATAAATCAATATTAGAACTTTGGTTGGTTACTGAGCCTTTTCTGGAATGTGGATAGAAATCAACACATGAACGGAGAGAAGAAAAAGAAAAAGGAACTTGCCAAATTGCTGATATTTAAGAATAGGAGTATTAAGCGCAAAGGTTAGGCAAGAATTAACCTGGCATAAAATGGGTATTTCAGATTGATTATTGACCTTAAAGTCCTATCTCTGTACAGCTCTGCCAAACTCTGAAATACAATTTCAGATTGAAATTTGGGAAGGAATAGTCCCAGTCCTTGGGAGTTTGACCCCTATAAGGGACAGCAAGCTAGAGAAACTCAGATGGAGACTAGCCTAATTCTATTTCTAAAAAAGCTTCAAGCTTCTTTTCCTATGTTTCTCTTCTCTCTACTCTTCCTCCACCCACTGTACATACCCCTTGTCATTTTTTCTAGCTTCCTTAAATTTATTTTAGATACTAAAATAACAAAAAGGAAGAAAAAGAAAGAAAGAAAAGAAACATGCTTTCATTGGAGACCCTTTAAAATCTCATTTTGTCCAAATAAAATGCACCAGTGTCAGTCTGTCCATACAGTTAATATTGCTTGTTGTGGCAATAAAAACCAGGTTACGATAGAAAATAAACCTACAATCTGTGTGCAAGGAGCTGATAGTGCATAAACCCTGGGGCATCAGGGAGCAGTTCTCTAGCAGAGCTGCCTAGAGCAGCAAAGTTTTCTTTCCTTTTCTCAGAAATAAATTTGGTTGGCTGTCACAGTGTACTGCTTTGGGATCTCCAGCCTTGTTAGAGAGGAGTGTGTGTGTGTGTGTGTGTGTGTGTGTGTGTGTTGTATTGTAAAAACTAAGAAAATCCTAATGTGTGAGTGTGCCTTTCTTCGTTTCCTGAGCACTGGGTGATTATGAATCCCAGAGATCCTACTATCCAAAGCAGATTTTCCCTACCAGCTTTCCAGCCCTGCAACCCTGCGTGTGTGATTTATCCACATGGAGTAATAAGATTTATAGAGTAATTTATCTGTTTGCAAAGGGATTTGGACATGGTGCAGAAGATGTTTTTTGCAAACACATAAGCATGCCATCTGAACTGCTAACGTCCATACTCCCTAACGTCATTAACCCTTTACTAGGGAAGCATTCTATATAAATTTGTTCTATCCCCAGAAGGCTATGGTTTCGCTGATTTTAAGACTGCATATGGAAAAAGTTAATATCCTGGGTGTCTACGTTTTTATTTAAGTGTCCATAAACTTTGTAAGTCAGTATCATCTGTATCTTAAGCTATAGTTATCAAAGAGTTAGATAAACATGTAAATTTTAATTCAGAAGTAAAAAGATATTCTTTTATTTTCATATAGCTTATGCATAGAAGTCTATGTTTTTGAGAGGTGTCTTACTACCTAAATATCTACCTACGATACAGATGTGTTTCTGTGTGTCTATGGCTTAAAAGAAATGGAATTTTTAAGTATTACACCTTAGTAGACACTATAGCATGGAAATGGGAGTAGTGAGAAATGAGAATAAATATAGAAGCAGTTATTCACTGGGAAAGAGAAGATAGACAAACAGAGCATGCAGAGAAGTCACCTGTGAGAGTCAATTGCTTTTTCAGACCTCACCTAATGTGCCCTCTTTTTTCTTTTTTTTGCGTTGGACAAGGCTTTTATTTCTGGGTTGATGGAGCTCTATCAGAAGTAACTATGGAGAGAGTTTCCTTTGTTTTCTTAGCTGATCTTCTTCTCAATCTCTTTAACTGAGCCCAGTAAGCTTTGTGGGTCAGTTTCCTGGTGAAGAATGGTTTGCTTGCTTTCTGCTTACAAGTCTAGCCTGGGAAAGGCTTGCTTTTACTTTATTTGTGACATTTTACTGGGAGCATGAGCTTCCAGGGGAAGAGAGGAAGGAGAACTTGATTCATTGGAAGCCACAGTAGATGTTTGGCCCTGAGAAACTGAAAAGGCAGGGAGCAAAAAAAAATCCTCTCTCAGTGAATCTGTGGCCCTGAGTAATCTGAAATGGCAACAGGACACAAGGAAGGTTTGTAATTCTGGTGGTCCAGTGATGGGAGTTTGGCTGACTGTCCCTAAAACATTTACCTTTGCTGCCTTACTTCCATGAAAAAAACCCAAAAACAAACAAACAAAAAACCAAAAAACAAAACAGTGTCTCTTTGGGGAACTGATGCTCATTTTGTATAATTATACAAAATAGGAGATGTATATTAGTCTTGAGGGTCTTGCTCTGCAATTTCTATCATTTGAGATAAAAACACAATAAAAGACTGTAGAATGAAGGTGACAAAACTAGGTATAGAGAGATATACTTTCATATATACCAACCTAACCCTGATGGTTCCCTGATGTGATCTAGATCTTTGTAAAGTTCTTTATGAGATCTTCTATCTTAAAGGCATAGAATCAAAGTATGATCCACAGACCACTGGTGGCAGCAACAGTACATGGGGTTCCTTCTCAGCTGTTGAACCAGAATCTGCATTTATATTTGTATGCACAGTAACGTACAAGACATACCCGAGGACTTGTGAGAACATCTTAGGTATTTTTCTGAACAGAGCCCACCTGCCCCATTGTCACCCCCAAGAAATATAAGAGTTCATCAATTAATGGACAAGTTTCTAGCACTGGTTTTTCTAACTTTCCACCTTTGCATGCAGGCTCCCGTAGAGACTCTCCCCCAGGTTAATCCTGGCAGGTTGAAACCATGCAGGTCTCCTCATAAGCCAGAGGAAAAATGGAAATACAAAAGTGTCCTAATCTAGACTTTAAAGTTTCATATTTTTACTGTCAGTAGCATATGTCTGGAGAGAAAATAAAATAATTGATCCCAATGTATCTATTCACAAGGTAACTTTGTAAAAACTACATAAAAATGCATATTTGGACATATTGAATAAATGCATGTATGATGAAATGCAAAGGTTTCAAACTATTGTGATTGTAAGTGTTTTAAATTTGAGGCATTGAAATTTTATTTATTTTGTTATTCTGAACCTGTATGGATTTTGCAAGGTATTATAATACTTTTTACAGTGATAACATTTTCCCCATATAAATTAAATGTATCTAATAAAGGTTAACTGTAAGAAACCAAATAACTAACTTTAATGTATTCAAGTTTTTAACTTTTAAAAATTCTAGGTCTTTATTTCCTTACTTGTTTCTACACTAGGGGGAAACGGAGGAAACAACACAAAAGGTATAATTATTTGACAGTACAATGTGAAAATTTTGTGCAGATTTCAAGGGAAAAATGGCTTCTCTTCTATAAGGCATCTGGAACGCCTACATTCACAAAGAAAGTGTCAACACTCAAACATACTCCTGACACAATATGTGATTTTTCTACCACTTGTAATTCACTATTTGAAAACAAACTTTGTGGGCATGGGTCTTCAGGGAAAGTTTGTGACAGTTATGAAGTTCTCTATATTTGTGGCTAACTCACTAAAGATAATCAAAATTTATTGGTTCTTACTGATACTGTAAGAACCCTTCATTGCTCATTAAATCCTACGAAATATGTTTGGTAAATAATAGAGTATAGCACACTGTATATTTTTTACGAATATGGCATAGTAGATACTTATTTTTAATGTTGCTATACCTGTAAGTTATATCATTTGTTGTTACTTATGGACAGAGGAACACAGCAGCCAAGTCTCATGTGCCAAATGCAAATTGTGATAATTTGTGTTTCTATAAGTATGAAGCATGTAAGTGTGTATACACATATACCCCCCATATTAACGTTATTTTTCTTTTCTACGTCATCTGTCTTTGAATGAGTTATTTGTAGAATTGTGGAATGAACAACCAAAGGTGACTAACTCTTCCACTAAATTAGTTGGTGAGAGTTAAACATGTGTGTTTCTTGTAGCTGGTTATGTATCATAGCAAACTCAGGCAAAAAGAGAATAAGCACATATTTTGCTGTGGTCTTTGAGAGCTCCAGGTACAGATATCTGCGCATAATGGGATAGGAAGTTACCTAAATGTGTGCTGGTCCCTTTTGCTGTCACCCTCAGCACGTCTCTTCAGGCCATTATTTAATGGCTTACAGCCATTTGCCCTGTTTTCATAATGTCCTGCTCATTAGTGTGTAAGACTCAGAAGACCTGGACTCTAATTTTGGATCCATCCTTGCATGCTACATGACTTTGAACAAATCCCTTAAATATTTGAGCTTCAGTTTCATTTATAAAATGCTGAAACTGCCTATTTTAGTTACTCTAGCTACTGTGCAGAGTTGTTTTCAGAAGCTCAGATGTGGTAAAGTGGGAAAGTTTGTTCAATTGTAAAGTCTTACATAAGCATAAAAATAATAGTCATTTCCAACCACATTCAGCCCATTATTCTGGCTTTCAGGAGCTCTTTT